ATACAATGGAGCTGAATGAACACAAAGATGAATTATAAGTGTGTTTTATTCACCTTGTCAAAGTTTCTTTGCTTCTTGTCCAGAACAGCAGCAGCAGCATTGGATCTCTCCACATCCACCATGAGATCTTCAATCTCATTCTGCAGCCTGTGCTTGGTCTTCTCCAGAGAGGAGCATTTTGCATTGACAGCTTCCACAGCTTCTTCTGCATCTTGCAGACGCTGAGCAAGTTTCTTCCTACAAATATTACACAGAAGCATTACTGTGTAAAACAACAATGTTTTTTTTACATATATATATATATTTTTTTATAAGATTGTAGGTTTTTCCTGTTTCATACTTAGCATCCTCCAGCTCCTCAGTCCTCTGGATGGCATCAGTTTCATACTTGGTTCTCCACTGAGCCACTTCAGAGTTTGCCTTGGACATACTACGCTGTAGCTCAGCCTTGGCTTCTTGCTCCTCTTCATATTGCTCCCTCAGCAGATCAGCATCATGACGAGCAGACTGAACTGCATGGGCCAGGGCATTCTTAGCCTAAAGACAAGCAAATATTTGGGGCCAGTTGTTTATTACAATAGTGGATTCTTAGCCTATGAGGATTAGGAATTTCCTGTTAACACTATACATTGGAATGCAAAGGACAGTTGGTAAAAAATCCTTTAAAAAATAAACTATACCTTGATTTCCTCCTCTAGTTGTCTCTTGAGGTCTTCAATCTGTTGGGTGTAGGACTGCTTGCCTCTTGTTAGCTGAGAGACCAATGAATCCTTTTCTTCCAGCTGTCTAGAAAGCTCCCCTAGATAGAAGTATAACCATTACATTACAAAAAGCAGTATGTGATCTTGGGCATTTGTCTAACAATACACAGGATTAAGTATTTCATTATCAGAGTACATACCATTCTCAGTTTGTAGCTTAGCTTTTTGCATTGTGAAGTCATTGATGCTGCGTTGTCCTTCTTCATATTTTGTTCTGTATTCGGACATCTGGTCCTCAAGGGTTCTGCACATTTTCTCCAAGTTTGCCTGTATAGATTTTAAATGTAAAAGAAAAAAGCACACAGTGAATGAATAAACAGTTATAACATTATTCTTAAGAACACCTGAAGTGAGGAAAAACAATTTAAAATTGTAATATGGAAACAAGAATTCATCACCTTGGACTTGGCAAGCTGCTCCATGTTGGAGACCACATCGTCCAGTTCCAGTCTGAGTTCACTCTTCTCTTTCTCCAGCTTCTGCTTCACTCTCTGGAGGTTGTCAATCTGCTCCCCCAGATCAGCCACACTGTCTGCATGTTTCTTCCTCAGTGTAGCCGCAGTGGACTCATGTTGCAGAGTGGACTCTTCAAGGTCTCTGCGCAGTTTCTGGAACTCAGCTTCACGTTTCTTGTTCATCTCAATCTGGGCAGCAGTGGCTCCACCAGCCTCCTCCAACCTCTCACTGATCTCCTCCAGTTCTCTGGACAGATCAGCTCTCTGTTTCTCAACTTTAGCACGGGCAGCTCTCTCAGCCTCCAGCTCTTCCTCAAGCTCTTCAATTCGGGCCTGGTAATGTGAGAAAAACAAAGTTAAAGCTAGAATTCCTAATTGTCTACATTTTTAAGAATCATAAATTTTACCTGCAACTCCTTCAGTTTTTTCTGGAGTTGGGCTGCCATTGCCTGCTCATCTTCAATCCTGCTACTGAGCTGGCTGATCTCAAAATCTTTCCTGTGTTGCAGAACATATTTGATTAATAGTATTAATAAGGATTCAAATTGTGAGCTGTATTGTTAAATAATTATTTTCCCCTCTGGAAAACACACTTTTTAATCCTCTCTTCCATTTGCTGTTTGTCATTTTCCAGGTCCATCACGCTCTCTTGGGTCAACTTTAAGTCTCCCTCGAGCTTCCTCTTTGCCCTCTCCAGATCCATACGAAGCTTCTTTTCCTGTTCCAGGGAACCCTCAAGCTGGAAGGACAATATTTTGTTCAGCATTGTAAATGTCACCTTTTTCATTTACAATAGAAATGTTAAAAATACTTCTCACATCATCCACTTGTTGCTCCAGCTTGGCTTTGGCTTTGGTGAGTGTGTTGACTTTGTCTTCCTCACTCTGGAGGTCATCCAGTGTTTGCTGATGGGCCTCCTGAAGAGCTTTCTTCTCCTTGGTCAGCTTAGCGATGATCTCATCCAAAGCTGCCATCTCTTCTGTCAGGTTTTTAACCTGTATAAATGTGTTATTGTATCAAGGGAATCTTAACTCACCATTCTAGCATCACTAACAGGTTCAGTGCTGAAAACTGACCTTGTTCTCAGTGGCATGTTTCTCTTTCTCTACTTTGGCCAGAGTGAGCTCAAGATCATCAATGTCTTTCTTGAGCTCAGAACATTCATCCTCCAGCTTTCGTTTCTTTGCAGTCAGCTCAGCATTCATTTCCTCTTCATCCTCCAGTCTTTCAGTCAGCTCTTTGACTTTGGCCTCAAGCTGGATCTTATTCTTGATTAGACCCTCACATCTCTCCTCAGCATCACAAAGATTATCTTGCTCCTGTTTATTTATAAATATAGAAAACATATGTTTTGTTTCGTTCATGTATTTGAAAAATATTACCATTATTAATATTAATACAATCACAAATAAAAAGCTTGTTAGCTTACAGATTGGACTTGAAGTTGCAAGTCGTTTTTCTCTTGGAGAAGAGAAACCATCTTTTCCTCAAGCTCCTTTCTGCGTGCTTCAGATTTGGCATAAGCCTCCTTCAACTTGGTGAATTCCTCCTTCATGTTTGCCATTTCTTTCTCCGACTCAGCAGATCTCAGCAGTGGTTTGATCTTGAAGTAGAGCTTCATCCAGGGCCAATTCTTGACACCCATGAAGGCACGTACATTCCACTGGATCACAAGCAAGGCATCTCTGTAATATGACACAAAAAAAAATCATATATTTCATATAAAATGTACTAGTGGAATTATTTTGGAATTTAATAGCCTAAAGCGTGCGATCAACAACCTACCTGCGATCAACAATTTTTTGGAACTCAATTCTTGCGAGATGACCACGAGCTCTAGCCTGAATATTTGTGATGATGAGAGCAAGACGATCATCTCGCATCTCTTCAAGAGTACCCAGCAGACCAGCCTTGAAGAACACCTTAGGGAATAAAAAGGGTCTCTTATTTAGCCTTAAATTGCACAAGATATCATTACTTGTACATGTTTTTGTATTTGAACTCTTATAACCTGAATTAGATCATTTATTAGGGTACCTTTGTATGTCCAAATCTGTACTGGTTGTGGTCGATATCCAAAGAGCCTAATAATTTCTCAGCTCCTTTCCTGCTGTCAATGAACTGACCATCTGGGATGGCAGCAGGGTTAAGGATACGGTATCTGTTGTTGAATAAAGTGTAAAACCATTTTAATTTTGTTACTGACAATAATAATATGCCATTTAAAAAAATGTCATGTACTGTAAAACAAAGGGGTCAAGAAATGGCTCAAATTCCCATAAGACTTTTTGTGTGAACCATTATTTCCAGCAATTTGTTCAAAGACCTAAGTAAATCACAAAACCAAATGAAAAAAACATTCTGAATGGGAAATAATATTCAATGTGAATATTTGCAAATACACTCACCTAAAGGATTATTAGGAACACCACACTAATACTGTGTTTGGCCCCCTTTCGCCTTCAGAACTGCCTTAATTCTACGTGGCATTGATTCAACAAGGTGCTGAAAGCATTCTTTAGAAATGTTGGCACATATTGATAGGATAGCATCCTGCAGTTGATGGAGATTTGTGGGATGCACATCCAGGGCACGAAGCTCCCGTTCCACCACATCGCAAAGATGCTCTATTGGGTTGAGATCTGGTGACTGTGGGGGCCATTTTAGTACAGTGAACTCATTGTCATGTTCAAGTAACCAATTTGAAATGATTCGAGCTTTGTGACATGGTGCATTATCCTGAGGATGGGTACATGGTGGCCATAAAGGGATGGACATGGTCAGAAACAATGCTCAGGTAGGCCGTGGCATTTAAACGATGCCCAATTGGCACTAAGGGGCCTAAAGTGTGCCAAGAAAACATCCCCCACACCATTACACCACCACCACCAGCCTGCACAGTGGTAACAAGGCATGATGGATCCATGTTCTCATTCTGTTTACGCCAAATTCTGACTCTGCCATCTGAATATCTCAACAGAAATCGAGATTCATCAGACCAGGCAACATTTTTCCAGTCTTTAACTGTCCAATTTTGGTGAGCTCTTGCAAATTGTAGCCTCTTTTTCCTATTTGTAGTGGAGATGAGTGGTACCCGGTTGGGTCTTCTGCTGTTGTAGCCCATCCGCCTCAAGGTTGTGCGTGTTGTGGCTTCACAAATGCTTTGCTGCATACCTCGGTTGTAACGAGTGGTTATTTCAGTCAAAGTTGCTCTCCTATCAGCTTAAATCAGTCGGCCCATTCTCCTCTGACCTCGAGCATCAACAAGGCATTTTCGCCCACAGGACTGCCGCATACTGGATGTTTTTCCCTTTTCACACCATTCTTTGTAAACCCTAGAAATGGTTGTGCGTGAAAATCCCAGTAACTGAGCAGATTGTGAAATACTCAGACCGGCCCGTCTGGCACCAACAACCATAAATAAATATATTTTATTTATCAATTTTTATTTTATATAAATAAAAATTGAATTGAATTGAATTGAACAACCATGCCACACTCAAAATTGCTTAAATCGCCTTTCTTTCCCATTCTGACATTCAGTTTGGAGTTCATGAGATTGTCTTGACCAGGAGCACACCCCTAAATGCATTGAAGCAACTGCCATGTAATTGGTTGATTAGATAATTGCATTAATGAGAAATTGAACAGGTGTTCCTAATAATCCTTTAGGTGAGTGTATATCTACTCTGGCTGCATAATTTGTGGACGTTTTTGACCCAAGTGTGACTTCGATGTCTTGTATTCATAAATGAATGTACCTCTGCTTGAAATCTCCATACAGGATCCTGTTGGGGAATCCCTTTCTGCAGATCCTGATGCCCTCCAGCACACCGTTACAGCGCAGCTGGTGCATGACCAGAGGATTCTCCATCGCCCCTGGAGTCTTAGTCTCATTGGGGATGATGCAGCGCACAAAGTGAGGGTGAGTTGACCTTAAGTTGGTCATCAGCTTGTTCAGGTTCTCCTGTGGATAGATATTATCCATGACTCTGACCATATATGTATTTTAGGTTATGCTATTTAAAGAAATTAAGAAACCAAGCTATTTTAAATAAATATTTTCATTATGAATCACTATGAAAGGCACTGTATATGTTACCCTGTGGAGGGCAGACACTGTCTGAAAAGAAGAGCCCTTTTTCTTCTTCTCCTTTCCTTTGCCTCCTCCCTCTGCGGCTGTTGAAAGAAAAGAAAAATTCTTAAAATGAACCTTTCAATCCTTATTTGTCTCAATTAGATGCTTTTCCACCATCAGGCCAAACCGTTATCATTGCTTAACCGTTTAGGACCTGCATGGTTACAAGCAGGAGCTTAGCCAAACATGCTGATAATTCCGGGTCGAGAATGGTTTGTAAGTGTGCTGTATTGAACCATGCTCAAGTGGAAATATAATTGGAACCATTCCTTACCATTCTCAGAACCATTTGGCTCGACTGTGGAAAAGTTGCTAATGATTTCCCCCCTTAGACACACCTGCGTCAGCACCAGCATAATTAGCAAACAGCTGAGACAGAAGTTTCATGGTGGACTTCTGATAGAGGCCAACAACAGTCTCATTAAGAGGATCCTTGTTCTTCACCAGCCAGTTATTGATGTTGTAATCCACAGTGCCAGCGTAGTGAACCAGGGAGAAATGGGCCTCTGGTTTACCCTTGACAATCCTGGGCTTCTGGAAGTTGTTTGATTTCCCCAAATGGTTGTCATAAAGCTTAGCTTTAAATGTTGCATCACTTGCTTTGGGGAACATGCACTCCTCTTCAAGGATGGACATGATACCCATTGGCTAGCAAACAATAGATTAAAGGGTTTCAAATTAGCTGAGCAGTATTGATCCAATACCTGAGATATCTCAAATTTAAAAACTCACCTTTTCAATGAGATCAATACAAGCCTGCAAGTCCATGCCAAAGTCAATAAACTCCCACTCAATGCCCTCCTTCTTGTATTCCTCTTGCTCCAGCACAAACATGTGGTGGTTGAAGAACTGTTGCAACTTCTCATTAGTGAAGTTGATGCACAACTGCTCAAAGGTGTTGAACTAGAGCAGATTAACAGTGTTTGTCAACACGGGTAGAAAACATAGAACCACAGAATGGTATATTTTAGAGTCATTTTTTATGTAATGCTGGAAGTCACGATATACACAAATCTGTATGTATAAAATGTTTTTCTGTTTAATCTAAATGCCAATGAACTCCTAAAATCTTACTAACTAAACTTTTAGCACATATACACAATTTAAAATTAACAAAACTGACTTTCTATTCTAGAATAATGGACCAAAAATATTAATAGCATGTCTTATTTAAACAAACATATACAGTACAAATCTTTTGTACAATAATACGCTTTCTATGAGATCGTCACGTCCCCCTAATGCCATCGGTCACAAACAGCATTATCTGTTTGCAAAGTGATGTAAACTAAAGATTATAAGCTACTTAAAAAAGATTCTTTCTCTACCAAACCATTTCATGGGTCTTTAACTATGAATTACAATGATGTCAATGTCCATACATTTAGTACATTTTGGGTATCAATTTTGATAATGTACAATTTAAGGCAATATTTATCGCCATACAACTGGGCCCTAGTGAAATTTAACTTTGAAGACTACACTGCACATGGAGAGTCCCTTTTGAGCAACCAGGAAACCTTTCTCAATGGCGACAGCTGAATTGTGTCTAGATCCAAAAAGTTACTTATAGGAACAACATCAAGTACTTACATCAAAGATCTCAAATCCAGCAATGTCCAGCACACCAATGAAGTACTGGCGAGGCTGTTTGGTGTCCAGGGATTGGTTGATTCTCACAACCATCCAAAGGAACATCTTCTCATACACTGATTTGGAAAGAGCGCCAATAGCATAGTACACCTGTCCGATAGACATTAAAATGTTACAGAATAATGTGTTTTTATGGTTATGTGAACAGTATGTTATGAAGAGATGTTAATCATGAAGTAGTCTCCACCTGCTGGACACTCTGTCCCTTGGTGACCCACTCATTTCCTACTTTGACTCTTGGGTGGCACAGAGCCTTGATGAGATCAGCAGAGTTCAGGCCCATCAGATAAGCTGATTTATCAGCATCTGTCATCAATAAAAGAAGATGGTTGATGGTAATGAATCTTCTATTAACCACTAACTGTATGCATTATGTCATTATTTTATCCTAATACTGACCCTCAGTCCCATCAGCCTCGGCCTGTTCCTCTCTTTGCTTCTGCTTGAACTTCATGTTGCCGTAGTGCATGATGGCGCCAACCAGCTTGTAGATGCTGTTCTTCTCCTCTTGGGTGAAGCCCAACACATCGAATGCTTCCTATAGCAAATGTAATTAATTTAACATGATAAATGACTCATATTCTTCTTTCTTGTATTTTCATTAAAAATTAATCTTTAAAAGGTAAGATCAAAAATGTATTAATGGTAATTTGTAGCTATTTCAGCTAACACACATCAGTGGCCATCAGCTCATCAGCATCAACAATAGAGGCCACTTGTGTCTCTCCTTGAGAGATGAAGGCGTAATCATAAGGGTTTGCTGTGATCAGCAGCATCTCTGAGAGAAATGACACAGAGCACTTAGACATCATGTTGTAATGCATTTTCAAACTAAAGTATAGATGTTTGGTTGTAAAAAAAAATGTTGCCCACCTAAAAGTTCTGGTTTCTTCTGAGACAGGATCTGGTAGAAGATGTGGTAGTCTCTCTCAGCCTTGAGCTGGAAAGTCACACGAGACTTCTCCAAAAGGTCTGTTCATAGAATTCACAAAATAAGCATTGTATCTAAATGTGGACATTCCATAGACTTATTTTATTTTACATACAGCTAATGATAAATGCTATAAACTATTTTAAAAATAAAATTATAATAATTATTATTAAATATCTGGATTGTATTATGTTGCCGATGCAATTTTCCAATTTGAAAGATCAAAATTCATTAATAAAAATATGAATTTGCTTTCAGCTAACCCTAACAGAAAACTTACTGCATTTTTAGAATAAAAACTTTGAATTGTTTTTACAAATAAATACGTTCCCAAATGTCCCAGATTTAACTCACTTCTGGGTAAAAATTTGTCACAAAATATGCTAATCCCTGAAGTAGGTACACGCACACACAAATCACTGAATATGTGTCTTAAAAGGCAAACCAGTAAATCAAAGATCTTTCTTACAAGTCTCAATGTCCGCAGATGCTAGCTTGCCACTGGCAGCAAAATGGATTCGGATAAACTTGCCCTGTTCGAAAGAGGATATTGTCTTTAAATCCTGTGGAACAAAATTTACAAAATGATAATTATTTGTAACTTAAATCATTGTCCACTCACAAAGCGAGAAGAGTTGTCATTTCTGATGGTCTTGGCATTCCCAAAGGCCTCGAGAGCAGGATTGCACTGGATGATTTGATCCTCCAGAGTACCCTAAACACAATATTAGAAATGTGTGTATTGTGAATGACAAAAAATGACACTCCAATAATTTTTAGTTTGAATTCAGATCTCCTCTGTTTACCTTCTTTTCACTGGTTTCCTTCTTTGTAGGACTAGCAGCAATGCTGGCAAAGTACTGAATGACTCTCTTTGTGTTCACAGTCTTTCCAGCACCAGATTCTCCACTGTCAACACAAAGCAGTCTTAGGCAGAGCATACTATACATTGTCTTATCAACCTTAATGTAGACTTTTCAGCCAATTATAAAGCATATATTCTTACGTGATAAGAATTGACTGGTTTTCTCTGTCTGCAAAATAAAAACAATGTTTTGTTAGAAAATGGATCTCATGGATATTGGTTATTTATTTGTCCAGCAATGTAATAGAAATGCAGCATATTTGGAAACAATTTGTACAATTACTGTAAACTATTTCGAATATGTTCAGTAGACGCACCTGACAGCATGTACTGATATCCATTGTCAGAGATGGAGAAGATGTGAGGTGGAGCTTCACTCCTCTTCTTTCCTCTATAGGCAACAACTACTTCCTGGTTGTACACTGGCAGCCACTTGTAGGGGTTCACAGTGACACAGAAGAGCCCAGAGTAGGTCTGTAAGAGATTCACAGAAAGTTTAGATCTGCTCATGCAAGATAAAGAGAACGTGTGAGTGTTTTAAGACTCGACTCACGTAGATCATCCAGGCTGCGTAACGCTCTTTGAGGTTAAACAGCACAGCGGGCTCGTGCAGGAAGGTGAACATCGCCATGTCCTCAATTTTATCAAACTTTGGCGGGTTCTGGGGGTGAACATCAACCTCCTTCACAGTTACTGTCTGTGGGAACATGATATTTTTGTCAGAATCTATGCATATTCATTTATGTGCACCATGTTTTCATTTATGTTTATTTTGCAGATTATTATCCAAAATAACTTACAAATGAGAATAATAGTTATATCATTAGAATGCATTAGCTTACTTAAAAAGACTGCATTTAAATCAAAATACATAATTTCAGAAAATGTGACATTATTATTTTTATATAAATTATGTATTGTTATAATTTATTAGTATTATTTTCCATTTGTAATTATTCAACTACATTAGTTATTCCAAACTCAATCAGCCCTTATTTTAAACTTAACACTGCGAGTTCAAAACTAGTCTCTCTTTTTAGCAAAATTAATTAAACAACTGTAAGTTACAGCAATAGTTAAAAACCATCTGATTAATCACAATGCCACTGCGTACACTTATTAAAACTTACCGTTCCCTTCGAAGTCTCACAGGTGACTTTATCACCATCTCGACTGATAACAGATGCCTTGAGATACTCCTCTTCAGCATCGGGAACAAAACATTCTTTCTTCATGTCGAAGGCGCGCGTTTGGGCCTCCAGACGCTCCTTGTCTGATTTCCTGAGGAACGAAGCAGCAGCTCCAAACTCCGCCATCTGAGCATCCCCCATTTTTCAG